ATAATTGCATAAGTGCATCATGCTTTTTTTTTTAAAAAAAGGGGGGGACCTACTCATGCATTGCAGCTTACATTCATGACTATTCTAGTTCTTTCCTTGTCTCCTGTCAACTGCCATTTCCACACAATATGGGCTGAAAGAACATTTAGCATTGTAGCCAGAATTGGTCACCCCAAAGCAGACCCAGTGACATTAAAGGTCGTGGCTAGCTTAGATCCATTCATTTCAAGGGGTCTACTCTGGAGCATGATTTCATTCCATTATATTTTCAGTTCTTTCTGGTTAGATTCATGGAATTGTGGGGACCTCATGGGTCATCAAGCCGAAGCCCTTGCAATGCAGAAATCACAGCTGAAGAATCCCTGGCAAACTGCCATCCAGCCTTTGTTTCAAAAACCTCCAACAAAGGAGCTTCTGAGGTAGTCTGGGGTTTTTTGCATCTGTTTCTTATCTGTTCCAAAAGACATTTGTAATTATCCTCACAAATTCTCCAGATGTTTCTTCAGTTCCCATATATCTGATGTACTTTTTTTGTATCTATTAACCAGTTATTCGTATCTAATCCCTCTTCCCTTATATTCCTTAAGAGCAGCTGGCATTTAGCTATACTGCAGTCACTTTAAACCCCCCATAATCCAGCCTTCCAGAAACAGTTGGAGATATATTTCATAGAATCATAGAACTGTAGAATTGGAAGGGACCCTGAGGATCATTCTAGTCAAACCCCTGCGATGCAGGAATATGCAGCTGTGCCATAAGGGGACAACCTGCAACCTTGGTGTTATCAGCACCACGCTGTAACCAAGTGAGCTATCCAAACTGGCTAATTTGTTTTGAAAGGTTTTATAAATTTATGGCATTTATTAGCTCTCACTTTTCCTCCAAAGAGCTTCAAATGCAATATGTAGAGTTCCCAGTGAGCTTCGTGGCCAGGTGGGGATTTGAACCATGGTTGCTCCTAGGTCCTGTTCTAACATTCTAACCACTACAACATGCGGGTCTCTGGTTTTCTAGTTTTGGGACAGATCTACACTCATTGTTTTTAACGCTAAAAAGAGTTAAGGAATTATTCTCATAATGTTCTTTTTTAACGTTCATAATGCGACACCAGAGGGCACTGCAGAACAACCCCGCTACCAGAAACCAGGTAGAGTAGACGGTGTGGAAACAAAGCAAAAGAGAAGTCAAAAAGGATTCTTCCCTGTCTTGAAATTTTAGAACGATATTTCTAGTATCGTTCTAATAACGTTTAAAAGGTGAGTGTAGATCCAGCCACCTGAGTTGGATAAAAGTATGTGCTGGTCTTTGTGATATTACCTTTTCTTTTTGCTGTTTTTTAATTGTACATCACCTTGAGATAATTTTGTACATGATTACCAGTAATTATGATGATTATTCTCTTTCTTTCTTTTTTTCTTTCTTTCTTTCTTTCTTTCCAGATCCCGAAATCCCCCTACCTTCCATCTAGGAATTTTTTAAAACAACCATAAACCTCTTAATGTCTTTCATATTTGGTTCTCAATTTTATTTAACGTACCATGATCTGTAATAAATTATTCTTTATTCTATAATCAAGCAATTATATTACTTCAATTTTTATCACTTTTCCCTTCAGCCTATTTGCAAATACTTCAGGAATGGGGGCACCTGTGTGCTTCCCAATGCTGCTGGACTCCAACTTCCAGCAGCCACCACCAAGCATGGCCAGTGATCAGGGATGATGGGTATTGCCCATCGGTAGCTAAAGGGAGGCTAAATACATCTCAGCATTCTGCAAGTCTGAATAGGCTTGCCGAAACAAAAATGCTTTAAGCAGGCTCCTGGAAAGAGTACAGGGAAGGCACCAGCCTGCTGTCAACAGGCAGGGAGTTCCAAAGTGCTGCCTCACATTAAGATAGATTTCTTACAAGTGTGGAATAGATATTGTCCAGCAGCTGTAACGGTACCAGTTATGCAAACAGGAGTGACTGAGTGTGCACATCTACAAATATCTGAAGGGCTGTCCCACGGAAGATGGAGCAAGCTTGTTTTCTGCTGCTCCGGAGGGGAGTACCTGAACCAATGGATTCAAATTGCAAGAATTTAAACCTTAGGAAGAATTTTCTGGTGGTAAGAGCTGTTCGGTAAGTAAAAGTTGATTGATAATGGGTAAAAATTGAAAAATTAAAGGTTAGAATGTTAAGATAAATTATAGAACAAAAATTGAGAAAGATGGAAAGAATTTGCTGAAATAGTTAACTGAACTAGAATACAAAAAGGGAGGTGTGAGGAGGTCGATGAAACAGGTAAATGAAAGGTAAAGATACGGAATATTGGATGTGTTTTTGAATGTTTTTGTTTTTATATGTTTTTTCTTTTTGTGTTTTTATTGTTGTGCTGCATTGTTTCCTTTTTAATCTGGTTTTTATTTTCTTTTGATGTAATGTATTGTAATTTTTTACTGTTTTCTCTTTTTTCTCTTTTTCTGTAATTGCTAAACTTTTAATAATTTTTTTTTTTTTTAAAGAGCTGTTCGGCAATGGAGCCGACTCCCTAGGAAGGTGGCGGACTCCCCTTTGTTGCAGGTTTTTAAGCAGAGGGATTCCTGCCCTGTGGGGGTTGGACTCGATGATCCTTGTGAATTGCAACACAGGACAATCAGCAACCAACAAAACAAACAAACAAACAAAAGTAATCCGGAGAAAGTGTTATAATGCAAATACTGCTGTCACTCTAATGCGTAAGTCTTATTCCTGGCATTAATCCAGCATCTTCAGCGAAGAGGCTGTGTTTTTCTGACACTCAACCAAAGTCATTACTATTTCATAGATAAAAGCTTCTAAGGCCCACTCCTTCAAGACACTCTTAAAAAACACACCACATTGCCAGTTGCTAATAGATTGTGTATTTGCTAAACTGTAACTGCAGACACTCAGATTTTCCATCTTTCTTCCGATTAAGAGTTCGTTTTAGCTATGAGCCTGTTTTCAGGCTTTCTGGTAACAACCAAATCTTCCCACCCTCCCCCTCTGCTGCTAAAATGACTCTACCCAGGCAGCTCCATAATCCACCTATGGCCAGGAATGAAAATCAGGGAGCCTGTTGACAGAGAGCGAGCAAGAGAGCACTGCATCACAGCTATAATAATTTCCTGCTTTCACAAGGAAGTAAAGCATCCTTGAGGCTTCTCAGATCACTACGGGTGCATTTAAAAGCTTTATAAATGGTTCTGCTCCCTCTCAGGGTCAATTTTCCTCAAACAGAAATCTGAAGGAAGCTTTTGAGAGGGTTGTGTGTCATGGCCTCATGAATATTCATTTCACCTCGTCTGTCTTCCCACCATCCTTTTTCCTGGTTGACACACATCACACATCTCTTTCCTTCCCTGTTACCCCATCTTTTGAAATGTAAACTGTGAGCTCCCTGGGGCAGTGACTGTTGTTCTGGGCTTTCCAGGGGCATATGGTTGGCCATGGTGAGAACAGAATGCTAGGCTTGATGGGCCCCCTTTGATCAGATCCAGCAGCCAGGTTCTTCTTCAGCCGATCTACTGTGATAGCAGAACCTCTATGCCCCAGGACATTCTACCTCCAAATGTTAGATGATGGGGAACAGCAACTGGAGATTTGCTGTTGCAGTTGGGGCCTGTTGGCAGGGTTCCTTCTAGAGCATGGGGTTGGTCACTGTGAGGAGAGGATGCTGAACTAGAGGGACTCTCTTTGCCCTGATCCAGCAGCCAGGCTCTGACTCAACAAGTCAGAGAGTCTACATCAGTTCATTGTGGCATGGGATTTTCAGCAGGAAGATACTTCCTTATCAGGGACTCCAGGATGCCAGCTAAACCAGATGAGGGCAGCCGATGGGTCTCAAGCCCTCAGTGGGTTAGGTACTTGCCCTGCATGCGAAGACATGCTCTGGCAAATTGAGCAGATGAGACCAATAGTGGGTCCAACAGTCAAGTAGGCAGTTTGTGCACATAGAAGGAAAGTGAAGAGCAGAAGAGTCCTATTAACCTGGGAAGGGGACCCATCTAAGAGAAAGAAAACTCTGGCCCTAAACCTTTTCTGTCTTGTGGCCATACTTATTCATGAGAAAGGCTTCGGGAGTAAATCCTGGAGAACATTTTGTACCCACTGCCTTGTGGGACATCTTATGAGCAGCATAAAGTATGAGCTTATCTTCATTAGTGGGAGAGATCATTGTGTCTCACTGGTCAGCTACTGCCTGCCTTAAACCAGGCAACCCCTGGTCAACAAAATGCTGACCTGCCACTGTCCACCTGCTTCAGTGGGTGCTTGGAGCTCAGAGTATCACTTAACAAACAGAACGAACTTCTGCACCAGGAAAAAAAGAAAAGAAACAAATCTCCTTGCACCCCAAGAAGCTGGAATGTCAGGACCATGTGTCCTGGCTTGTCCACTGACCTGTTGCAGATCAATGGTTCACAGAAGTTGACGATCGTTGACTGTGAGCTGAAAACACTCAATATTGATGTTGCCACTCGACAGGAGACCAGACTCGCTTCAAATGGCAGACTCAGAGAGAAGAACTACACCTTCTGTCATCCAGAAGAACTGTGTATTCATGACGTAGGCTTCTCAGTGAGGAACTCCATTATGTCTTTGATAGAATCACTGACCCAGGGCTCAGAAAACTTGCTTTTCCTTTGTCTCTCATCCATCTCCAGCCTGGTTAACATCTTGAGTGTCTGTGTGCTCTGACATATGAAACAAGGACCAGTTCTACAAGGAACTAGACCAGGCTGTCAGGAGGGTCCCAGACTGTGAACACCTATTCCTGCTGGGAGGTTTAAAGGCTAGAGCTGGGGGCAATCACCACACATGAGGCAACTGCATAGGTCACTTTGGTAGTGGGTCAGGATGTCTCCAGCACTCCACAGATCAGCAATGGTGACCACACACTTGAGGTGGTAGACAATTTTGCGTACCTTGGTACCACCATAACCAGCAACCTCTCCATAGATGCTCAGCTGGACAAGTGTATTGGCAAGGCAGGTACAAGGCAGATATTTCAGGTTTTCAAAACCTTCAGTCGGGCCTGGAAATAAACTGGCAACAAATGCAAATTTTAAAAAACAAGGTCTATACGATATCTACGTAAATGGAACTCCAGTAAGCAGTTACATTTTGGACCAACTGAAGTTTCTGAGTCATCTTCAAGGGCCATCCCATGTAGAGTGCACCAGAATAATCTCGCCTGGAAATTACTAAAGCGTGGAGTACAGTTACATTGTCACTATGTTAATTCACCCTACTCATTCCAAAAGAAAGGAAAACCAGGGGAAATGAGGGAAGGGGAAAGCGTAATTGTATCATAAATGGAATGAAAGCAACAGCAACGGATTCTGTATTTGCTGGTTTGTTTTGCATTCCGAACCCAGGATGAGTAACTGAATATATGCAATTCCCACCTTCTGTTTTTCCTCTGAGTTCTCTGACATCCCTAGGACTTCCTGGAGGTAGTGATGCATTGTTACCCCACATATGGCCAATCAACCACATAAATCAGTGGAAATGGCAATGTTACATGTGCCAAATAATACCTGTTCCACATTTATAAAAGCACAACCTGTACTTTGGAACTCCCTGCCTATTGATATCAGGCAGGTGCCTTCCCTGTCCTCTTTTGGTGCTTGCTAAAAACATTTCAGTTGTGTCAGAGTTTATTTATGAAATAAATGAATGAATTTATAAAGGGGGGAGGCTGTTTTCTCATAGACAGCATTGTTCCCCTCACAAAGCAGGGTGATTCTCAACTAAATGAGACCCCAATGAGCTCCTTTGAGCCTCGTTGGCTGGCTGGCTGGACTCCTTTTGCAAGAAGCTGAGCAGTCCGATTCAATGACAAGAAATTCAATTATGGTGCCGGCCTGCCACTGAGTCTTGTTCAAAGCATCACAGGCCTGATGAAGCTTAGTAGGAATTAGCCCCAGTCAATGAGACTTGAATCAACTCAATTAAATGCAGATGGAGCTGACAATGGGCCTGGAGGCTCTCCGCCTGCCCTTCTCACCAGGCTCTCCAGAGAAGGCGCAGTGGGGAAATGTGAGAGCGGGGGCAAAGGTGCCATTACTGAATTCATTAGGCCCTGATGATCATCTTGGGGCAGCCCTTCCTTGACTCCCACTCTAAGCAGGAAGCAGACGTTGAATTTATTTATTATTATTTATTTACTGCACATCCCACCTTTATTTCCCACCTTTTCCTCCAAGGAGCTCAAGGCGGCGTACACGGATCTTCCCCTCTTAATTTAATCCCTACAACAACCCTGTGAGTGGCCCAAGGTCACCCAAAGAGCTTCATTGTCAAGCAGGGAACTAAACTCTGATCTCCCAAGTGCTAGTCTGACACTCTAACCACTGTGCAACACAGCCCCCAGTCTGAGCCTTGACAAGAGCTCTTGAATTTGGCACAAATCTTCTCCCAAGGCCTTCAGGGGGAGAGGTTACAAAGGACCCCTTATTTGTTTGCCGCTTGCTGCTGCTGCTGTTGTTGTTGTTACAGAACAGTCTCTGATTTATGCCAGGCTTAGATCATAGAACTGGGAAAGGGCCCTGAGGGTCATTTATTCACACCTCCTGTAAAGCAGGGTGATGTACAAAGGTTAGAATTGAATCCATCGCTCTGCCCTCTTTTGCCTCTGGTCCTAGAATCATAGAATTCTAGGGCTGGAAGGTACACACAACGGCCATTTGGTCCAACTCCCTGCAGTGTAGGAATCACAGCGGAACAATCCGTGACAGGCAGGGCTGACCCATGAGGCAAGGTGAGCTGACTGCCTTGGGCAGCAGCATCCACAGGGGCAGCAGATCTGGCCTCCAAGAAATGCAGGATCTGCCACACCCATGGCAGCGCCTCTCCCCCCCCCCCCCCCGCCTTTGAAGGAGCCTCTTGGCAAATAGGAGCTGCCGATTTCCTTCCAACCTTGCTCCCAGTGTAGATCATTACTGCCTTCCCTGTGGCCCCATTCTTGATGTAGATCTTCACTCAACCCTTCTTCTCTTGCAGGGGTGGGGGAGAGTTTTTTTGGTTCGCCTCAGGTGCCAGCCCTGCTGACAAGATGGCCGTCCAACCTCTGTTTAAAACCCCCCTAGGAAGAAGAGTCCACCACTTTGTGAAGTCCGTTCCATTGTCAAATGGCTCTTTACCTCAGAAAGTCCATGTTAATTGTGCTTTTATTTCTATATGGCTTGTAATGATTTCTATCGTAACAAAAGTCTGGACTGCGTGACCAGTGACTCTGCCCACCCCCCACCCCACCCCTCGCTTCGGTATTTCATGCCTCTTTTCCATGATGCCTCTATTCTAAGCTGGGTTTTGCATTTTAATAAAAAATAATAATTCTTTAAAAAATGTTAGAGGCAGTCAACAGGGTCTGTAAGGATGGTATGCACCATTCTACTTGCCCTCCCCCCATTAACACAATTTTAGGTAGATCTCAAACTTGGTGCATTGTGAACCCAAATAATGTTAAGAAATGAGACAGGAAGCAATGGGCAGTGAGACTGTGGGTGGGTGGGTGGAGACTATAGGAAAGTATTGGATATTTGCATATGCCTGAGATGTGCTTACATATCCGGTTAGATCTGGACGTGAGCAGATAATATCAATATCATGTAGAAAATTGGAGCTGTTTTGTAATATCATTAGAATGGATACTGTAATCAGCCTGTTGCCATGGAGATAGGATAATTCTGAATAGATTGCTCAACCCATTTGGAATTGAGCTAATATATGAACATGAGTTTATTCTCCAAAGTATTGCAACTCATTTTGGAAGAAAGATGGAAGCTGTTTCTTTCTTTTGTTTTTTACTTATAAATGGTAAGAGAGAGATAATTTTGCAGATTTAGCTTTACATTAAGATGACAATGAAGGTTTTGTTTTAAAAAGCTCTTAAAACATCAATAACTCATGCTTTAAAAATAATAACCACAGGATTCTAAAATAAATACGAGAAGGCAGTGATGCCTGCTCAGAAATCTAGCAGAATGCGGGAGTCTTAGGGGGCAAAGGAAGCATCTGTTCATTTTGTTCTCCCAATTTTTCATTTTCCTGTCTTTATATTTAATTTGCCCCCTCACCACATCAACTTGTGAATATTTTTTTTTAAAAAAAATCAGCACTAAAATTCCTTCACATTTCTCCTCACATACACATTTTCCCACCAATTTTGCCTACATATTTTCTTTAAATACATGCATTTTACCAAATTTTCCCCAAATATAAAAATGCATTTTCATAAACAATTTTCACTTGATTAACACATTCTGGTAGAATTCCCAGAGTGTTCTTACAGTCAATCCCATTTCCCAAGAAACTCTTGAGAACTGCATCTCTGAGGATGGGAATAGGGTTGGGATCGTGTCACTTAACAACTCTCAGCACCTGTAATAATCAGCTCCCAGGATTATTTGGGGGGAGGCTTGCCTGTTTCAAGTTGTTTCAGTGCTTTAAAGGCATGGTTGTCGCCTTCATTTCAGGAAGTGTGGATTGCATAGGCCTGCATTAAAATGAGAACTGAACCAATTTCTTCTCCCTCCCTAAATATTAACAGGATGAGACTCTCTCAAGCCTCCTCAGGAAACACTTTTCCTGTTGTCTTTTACATGGGCTGGGAGCTCCAAAGAATCTTCATGTTTATTAAGCAATTGCCTCAGCAGGTACCCAAGACACAGTTTCAACATTACACTGGACAGCTGGACAACAGTACAAGAGTACAGGGTCCAAGCTGGAGAGTCCCTGAGAACAATGCTCAGATGTTGTTGCAGCACAAGTAGGCCTCAGACTGAGCCTTAAATAAGAGTTGTGGCTCTATTCCTCTTGCTAAATCTACCTTTTATAAGAAAAGCCTCTTTATTTAAAGGATCTCAGGGCCAGATGCCAGTGGTGGGGTGGTGGGATCAGAGGGAAAAGCAGGCAGAATAATTAGAAGAATATTGTGTGTGCGTGTGCAAACTGGAAAACTAGACTGGTCTGGAAAGAAATCCATAATGGAATGAGACCAAGCAAGTTTCCATGGCTAGCAGTTCTTTACAGAATTAAGCTGGAGGTTAGTCTGTGGCGATGGGAAACCAGAAATCCTATTGCAGTGGTACCTCGGGTTACAGACACTTCAGGTTACAGACGCTTCAGGTTACAGACTCCGCTAACCCAGAAATAGTACCTCAGGTTAAGAACTTTGCTTCAGGATGAGAACAGAAATTGCGTGGCAGCGGCAGCGGGAGGCCCCGTTAGCTAAAGTGGTACCTCAGGTTGAGAACAGTTTCAGGTTAAGAACAGATCTCTGAAAAGAATTAAGTTCTTAACCCGAGGTACCACTGTATAACCCTCCTGAACTTTAACTGCAACCCACACTCACAAAACAGCATTGGCATCCCCCAATAGTTTGACATCTTCTGATTTATTTTCAATTTTTTAAATGCATAAAATAACTGGAGCCTTCATGATGATGCAGGTCAAATGCAACTGAGTTCCCTTCTTCATTTTGGACCACTTTGGGGAGTTAATAAATTCTGTAGGCAGTTGACTAGCCACATTCTGTCTATCCAGGGGCAGGGTGAGTGGGAGGTGAGAAACAACATCACCATGGTTACAGGCTCTTTTCCACAGTGGTGAGAAAAACTCAGAGTACCAGATGCACATTTATTTGTTGTTTTCAATAATGGGTGTTTGTGATGTGTATGGCGGGGGTGGGGGGGGGAGAGAGAGTTGGTCTAGGATGGCTCTTTGGCACACCACATTTCACATGAAATTGCGCTCGTCTTCCAAGCTCCACCTGCTACACCAATAGGTGAATTGCATGTGACACTGTTTCACTGCCATTAGACTATCCATCTTTCCCTCCCCTCATTAATCAGTGTACAGTCATACCTCATGTTACGTTTGCTTCATGTTACATTCTTTCAGGTTACGTCTAGTGGTGACCCGGAAGTACCAGAAAGGGTTACTTCCGGGTTTCGCCGCTTGCGCATGCGCACAAGCACCAAATTGCGCCACACACCTGCACAGATATGGCGCTTCAGGTTGCGCTCTTTTCATGTTGCGAATGGATCCCAGAGATACCACTGTATCCAACCCCCTGTGCTGTGCCAGAAATCCACCTTCTAATTTCTTGAAAGCTTTCTCCATCACCACTTCCAAAAGAGGTTTACAGAGCTTTTGTAGAAATTTGCTAGAGAAAACTCTGTGAGATCACCTCCCTTTGTGCCCTGGCAGGAAGAGGGCGTAGCTATATATGCTCCTCCCTGCCTGGTCACACTCTCTTCCTTATTTTTTCACAATGTCTGCAACATAACAACAGCTGCATCTCTGAGCTCCAGCATTTTTAAGCCAGGCTTAGTATGTCTTAATAACTTAATTACCATTTTAAGCCTGCCTGTACCAAGTTACTGTACCTGTTATTCTTCAAGACGTATTCTGAGCAAGTAAATGTTATTTTTACCTTTCACAAACCTGTTTTTGTGTGGTTCTTATTTTAAGGGGGAGAAAGGGGGTAAATACCAGGAAAATCCAGTTTGCCTTAAAGCAGCCTGGGTTACTTATACTAAAAGGCTAAAACTAGCTGATCTAAGCTTCCCTTTAAGTTGCAAAGGGATAGCACTCTGCTGAACTCACATATGCAAGGAAGAAAGGATAATAATAAATATATCCTCTCCTAGCATCGAATCAAATCCCACAAACAAAACACATCACTTCTGTATTGGTCTCTACAGCATCGGCAGCTGCTGTAACTCTTCAGTAGTCTGGCTTCATCCCAGAGGAGCACTCTTCCACTGTCTCCTGAGACAGACCAAAGCCAACTGAGGGCCACATGGCAATGGAGGGTGGGGCCAGAGGCAAAAATTGGTGCAACAACAAATGTACATTTTTATCTTTGTAGAGTAGTTTCTATACACACCCCTGATTCTTTCTCTGTCCTCCATTCAGGCAGGCAAGAGGCACTGCTTACTTGCTACATTTATATCCCACCTTTTTCTCCTAGGAGCTCAGAGTGGTGTACATGGTTCTCTTCTTCCTCATTAAATCCCAACAGCCCTGTGAGGTAGGCTAGGCTGAGTGTGAGTGATGGGCCCAATACTACCTAATGAGCTTGACGGCTGAGTGGGGCTTGGTTTTTTGTTTTATTTATAATTTTCAGGTTAATACATTTCAATAATTTTACAGTCATTTTAACATTTCAGAACTTGGCTTCCTTACCCATCTTTCTGCAGCTCCTTAAATTTATTTTTAATATTTTCTGCATATCCAAATTACCTTAATTTATTCATTTGCTTTAAATATATACTCTTACGAAACTGCAGGTTGTTACAGTAATCCTGCCAATGTTCTTATCTGTTTACAATTGGTTTGTAAGCATTCAATAAACCATTTACATTCTTTTGTAAAAAGTTTGTTGCCTTTCTTATTTTTCCATTAAGTTTTGCCATTCCTGCATATTCCACAGATTTTTGTATCCATTCTTCTTTTGCTGGTACTTCTTCTTCTTTCCATTTTTTGGCAAGTAACATTCTTGCCGCTGTAGTAGCATACATGAATAAGTTTCTGTATAGTTTGGGTAGTTCTGTCCGTCTAATTCCCAAAAGGGGGGGGATTTGAACCCTGGTCTCCCAGGTCCTAGACCTCATTTAATCCTCACAACAATCCTGTGATGTAGGTTAGGCTAAGAGTGAGCAACTGGCCTAAGATCACCCAATGAGATTCATGGCTAAGTGGAGGGGACCTGAACCCTGGCCTCCCATGTCCTAGTCTGACACTCTAATCACTACACCACAGATCAAGGACACATCCCAGCCAGGTGAAAACAGAAGGAATGCAAATCAGGGATGGTGAAGGGTGCAGTTCTTTGGGGGGGGTGATTGGCCTTGGGGACATCTGGAGGGTCAGCTAGAGGACCCCCAGACCTTAGGTTCTTCATCCCAGCACCACCACCAAAAGAAATAATATTGTGGGGTAGGGGACAGGACCGTGCCATAACTAATAATATCCAGACAGCAAATGCAATCCCTGCTTTGCTTCCAGAAGATCTAACAAGAAAACTGTGACCCTCTGGAAATCAGCACAATTCAGAGCTGGGCACGTTAAGCCACACATACATACACGAAACATAGACTCCAAATGATTTTAAAAGATAATGTGTGTTTCTCAGAAGCCGACATTTCCACATAAATCTACTGGGACCCACCAATTCCGCTGACCTCAGAAAAATGGCCAGTTAATCCCATTTGCTCATTCCACACTCTGCAACAGAAAGATGTTTTCCAAGCATGTAAGCCAAGCGGAAGGCTAACACCAGAGGGTAATGTTTATCGAGTCTCAAGGACAAATGTGGCCTGTGTTACAAGACTGCAGGGGGCAGCAGGCGGAGTTTCCATGAGAAGGGCACTGGCGGGGGTAAGGGAGAAAGTCTATTACAGAGCTCCGGCGAGAAGCTATGGAAAGCTACAGAAGGGCTTTATTATGCCTTCTTTATAGCCTATTATTTGATTCCCATCATGCAGAGGGCCAATAAAAGTGCCTAAGTAGCTGTGTTGATCTCAGTCTTGTTTCTGTTATACTGGCACCAGCTGGAAAGAGAAATCTAGCCAGCAAAATACACACAAACACATACACATTATTTTATTTTATTGCTGTTCACAGGAAAGAACAACAGGGAGGGTCCAGCATGGGCTATAAGCTTGTTGCTCACATCCTCTAGAAAGCTGCTGCAAAGTGGCACGTTGCATCCAAATCAAGTCCAAATCAAATCTTTATTTTATTTTACCTTACCGTAATTTTTATTAAATTGTTTCAACATATAACAATATCATGCAGATATATAATGAAATAATGCCCCCTAAGCCAGAAGCTGGTGTTGTTGTTGTTTTGAAAAACAACAGCAAAAACCAAATAACATAAGAATGTAATTTTTTTTTATCCCAGACCGTTATTATTATGCTCAACGACTGGCATGAAAGAAACAAAATAAGTAGCACATGGAACACAAGCATCCAGATGTGTATATGGTTGAATAAAACAGAATTAAGAGATTTTAAAAAATAAGGTAGCATATAGTGTTTCGGGGCTCAACATTTCAAGAACATAAGAGCCTGCTGGATCAGGCCAATGGCCCACCTAGTCCAGCATCCTGTTTCCGCAGCAGCTGAACAGCAGTCCCAATGGAAAGCCCAACAGCAGGATTTGAGCCCAAGATCCCTGTTCCCTCCTGTGGCTTCCAGCAACTGGTATTGAGAAGGGTATTCACTGCCCCTGACTGTGGAGGCAGAGCACAGCCATCGTGGTGAGCAGTCATTGACAGGCCTCTCCTTCAGAAATTTGTCTTCTTAATTTCACATACACGCACCATTGTAAAACTGTACAGAAAACTGACAGGTCCCGATCTCTGCATTCAAATGAGTTCATAAAACCTGGAGCAAAACCAGCCTCTTGGAAAGCCTAGCTGGGTTGGAGAGAGGGAAGGTCTGCCTTTCATTTGCCCAAAGTTATCACTGGCTGTGGCATTTTATGAAGTGTCCTGGCACACTTCAGAGCTTTACATCAAAGCCATCAAAGGTCTGCTATGCCACCCCATGCCAAGAATCTTGCATTTGGAGAGAATGTCCATCTGGTGGTGAGCATTAAAGAGCCCGCTTGTCTTCCTGTTGGGAGAGAAAAGGGAAACAAGGGGACTTGGTTGCCAAGTGGATAGCATATGAAAAGGAGAACAGAACAGGTGATGGGATTCATTTGATCGCTCCTGGCTAGGTTTCCAGAGGCAGCAAAGTTCTGAATGCCAGTTTGCTGGAAGCCACAGCAAGGGAGAGTTGCTGTTGTGTTTGGTTTCTGCTTGTGGACTTACCATGAGGGCATCTGGTTGACCATTGGGAGAGCAAGGGGGATTTCCCCCCCATTTAGAAAACTGGAACTCATAGACATCCAGTGAAGGTGAATGTTGGATTAATTCAGGGCAGAGTCATACAGCACACAAACTATGAAACTCCCATGGGAGGTGGTGGCCACCAACTCTCAGGCCAGTGGCCCGATTTAGTCCCGCTTCCTCTTCTTACAATGTGAAGCCCTCAAGCATGATCTGAGCACAAGAGCCCTCTCCCTTTCTGTAGTTTCCAGACACTGGTATTCAGAAGCATTGCTGCATCCAACTGTGGAGGCAGAGGCAGAGCCATTGTGGCTAGTAGCCATCAATAGCTTTCTCCTCCTCCATAAATTAGTCCAGGCCTCTTTCAAAGCAAACTAAGGCAGGTAAGTGAACTGGTTGCAGCTTCAAAAAAAGGAGAAGCGGGGGAAAGGCCACCCAGCTAATTACAGCCCAGAATTTGTCTTTCCTCATTTAGGTATTTTAATTATATCCTCTTTCTCTTTCCAGTAACTGATGCTAGAAGCTCACAATTCCCTTGGAGTGGCAATGGGAGAGATTAACATATTACTTCTGCTAATGTGCTGGCAGTGGCCTCATAAGTCCTGCAGGAGAGGAGAGCTTGTCTTCCAAGGCTTTGTTTATGGCTAGCCCCTACAGATGCCCCCTATGAGCCAAGCAGCATCCCCAAAATAAAGCCATTAATTTATTGTCATTGCCAGAGTCCCTTTTGGCCTGCTGTGTGTGTGGAAACTGCCAGAAGTCCTTCAGCAGCGTGTTTAACAGAAGCCAGAGCCTTATGCACACATTTCCAAGCCATTCTTCCACATATGACCTTTTTAACAGTGGATTAGACAAATTCTGAGGAAGGAGGCTTGCAGCCCATGAAAGCCAATGCCACAGGCTGGCCCAAAACATTTTGCCACCTAGCGCAAAAGCAGAGATAGCTCCCCGCCCCCACTTTTCACATACAGAAACTGACTGGACATTTTCCTTTCTGGGGCAAAGGACAAGATGACATCCCACCTTTCCATGCCCAGAATCTCTAGCAGAGGGATAGGCAACTTAAGGCCCGTGGGCCAGATGCAGCCCAATCGCCTTCTCAATCCGGCCCATGGACGGTCCGGAAAGTAGCGTGTTTTTACACAAGTAGAATGTGTGCTTTTATTTAAAATGCATCTCTGGGTTATTTGTGCGGCCTGCCTGGTGTGTTTGCATGAATAGAATGTGTGCTTTTATTTAAAATGCATCTCTGGGTTATTTGTGGGGCATAGGAATTCATTCATTTTCCCCCTCCAAAATATAGTCTGGCCCACCACATGGTCTGAGGGATGGTGAACCAGCCCCCTGCTGAAAAAGGTTGCTGACCCCTGCTCTAGCATGAGCATATGGCTTTCCTCACTACTGCAGACAGCTGATCTCTCATTCATTTATGAATCATTCAAGAATAGTGGCAATACTGTATTTATTCAGAGCTCTACTCTGAATCATTACCAGCTAGGATTGCAGGAGGGTTATCCATCATAGTCAGTTCTTATAATGTGACTTATAGGGAGGTTTTTTTATAGCAGAGCTGGAGAACTACTGATCACATACCGGTACATCCTAAACCACTGTTGTTGGTGGTGTTGTAAATGGTTCCCTTTCTCCCTTCCAGTTCCTCCAGTAACATTTGGAAATTAACAATATTAATCCATCCATCTCCTCTCTCTCTCTCTCTCTCTCTCTCTCTCCAGATTTCATTTGTTAATTTCACCCTCACCACCAGCCTTTCCAAGGGCATAATCCCCAAACCGCTGCCATCAGAGGGATGAAATTTCAAAGCACCCAGCAAGCATAGATGGCTTTTCTTATAATCATGTAAAATAGTAATTAACATGAAATGATTAAACAATGGTGATGGATGTCACCCTCTAGCAAATTTGCAAAGGCAGAGTGGGAAATTAAGAGATAGTCAGCTCACTCCCGTGATGACTTTCAGTGCTGATTTTAATCATTTTAAGTTGTTCTAAAAGGAGAGCAAGAAGGCATCAGTGAGATTCATTTTGTTTATTTACTGAAGAATTTATAGATCACGCTTTCATAAAAAGTATATCAAGGCAGCACACAGTATACAAAGTAATAATAAAATCAGCCAAGCATCAATAAAGACAAAGCATCAAATTAAAGCATCATTAAAAACATCAGTAATAAATCAGTAAATATTGGTGGGTTAAAAATAAGGGGGGAAGTCATGTTCTAAAGGACTGTCTGAACAATATGGCTTTCAGAAATTGTCTTTTAAAAAAGCAGGGTACACCTGGTTTACATCCATCAGAGGCCCTCTGGCTCTGAATTCCAGTTGCTGGGAATTGCTTGGGAGAGTGATGCTGCTGCTGCGCGCAGCTCCTGCTCATGAGCTTCCCCTCTTTGGGGCATCTGATGAACCACTGTGATGACAAGATGCTGGACTAGGTAGGGCAATGGCCTGATCCAGCAGGCTCTTCTCATGTTTTTATTGCCCTTGAATGCCAGGATGCCAATTAGTTACTATAGCTAATGAGGCATTGACCACTGTGGGGTGGTGGTGGGGTGTGTGGATTTTGGCATTGAATAGGGTGCCACTGAAATTTGAGATGCCAAAGTCCCCCAGTACTGCTAGACTAGATGGGCCACTGGCCTGGCCCAGAAGCGGGACTCCTTTGATGCTCTTACCTTTAATTCTGCCCCATGTCCCACTTTCTGCACTCCTACCCAGCCGCAGCCTGCACAGAGCCCTAGCAATTTCCTGAGACAGGCTTTGAGGATTGTTCTGTCTCTTTATCATACCAAAACCAAACATTATCACCCTGCTAGAGCTTCCTGCTTCATAACAGATCAGCTTTTAAATTAGGCGTGCAGCCAAGTTGGTTTTTTTAAAGAAACACCAAAAAAACCCTGACTTCAACTTTCTCTGGGGATCCATTCCTGCCTTTAGCATATGCATGGATGGATACATGCATTAAAATATATTTCCTTCCATTTTTTGTAGCTCCCTTTAGTGCTTCTGGGCACGGATGTGCAAGACTTAAAGGGGAAGTTTTAAAACTCATTGTGATGAAATCAGGTTGAGATAAAATCCTGTTTGGGGCTTGAGGTTCCTAGTGGCAGAGAGTGAGCCCCCCCCCCCAAAAAAAAACCCAGTAGAGCCCATGAGCTGGAATGGCTAGACATGGATTAGGACATGGGAGACCAGGCTTCAAATCCCCACCTGGTCCTGAAGCTCACCTTGGGGGCCAGTTGCTGCCTCTTAGCCTAACCTACCTCGCAGGGTGGTTGTGGGCTTAGACAAGGAGGGAGAACCACGTACACAACCCTGAGCTCCATGGAGAAATGAATGAACGGATGTGTATATTTCCAATAGCATTTCAGTGCTACAGCTCTATATAGAGCTTGCCTCAATGAATTATAACCATTTTTATTAATCTCCCTCCCAACAATGCCCACCACACCAAAGGTCGTAAAGGTTCAGTTGCTTTGGGGATCCGAGGGACTCGGAATTAAAATGCTGCTTACATATTGGGATGGCAAGCTCTCTTGCAACGTCCTTTTCTTGGTAGGTCAGAAGAGTTGTAAACCATGCTCTGTTTTAAATATTCACCTAGGGAAACAGAGGCTCAATGAGAGTTTGTTATGAGCAGTTTGTTATGATTTGTATTATTTTCTGGGCTTCCAACTTGGGAGCATTATTCTGCACCAGCTGCAGTTTCTGAATATCCATGTAGCACAAGCTTCAGTATATGACCAAGACAATGGCTGCCTGATTCATTTTCTCCAGGAATTGTACAGTGAGAATATTAGCCAAAGCTGAGTCCTCCTAGCCACATTTGCCACTGAAGTGTTGAGGAGCATACAATAAGATTATCAATAAGAAAGATTAACAACAATAATTTAAAACTTTCAAAAAGTTAAAGTAACAATAGACACACACAAAAAGATTAAAATTTGCATCAACTTTCCAAACATATGGGTAGGCTTGTCTAAACAAGAATGTTTTTAGCAGGTACTGAAACGAAGACTGGGAAGCTGCCTGTCTGATATCAACAGGCAGGGATGCCAGCAACAACAAACTTGACTCAGGAGCAGATTGGTAACCAGTGCAGGTGTATGGGCGCAGATGCTATATGCTGACAAGGCCTCACTAGTGTCAGCAATCATGCTGCAGCACTCTGCACTAACAGAGGGTTCCGGAGTGCACAGAGTGCATATTGCAGTAATCCAGTCTTGAAGTAGCCAATGCATGAGGTTTAGAAGCTTGGCATCCATCGGTCTTCAGAGATAATGGAGTGCACCTCCAGGGGTGAAGACAAACCGCTGTGTTAACAGCACCCAAGTCACCTTCCTGGGCCACAAGCCTGGTCGGTGTGTATGGAGGCCCTGTCAGTCTCTTGGTTCAAAGCAAAGCAATACATTTGGCTGCAGGAGTTACAAAAAGGAGGCGAATAAGGGGCACTTCAACTGCTTTAGCGACTCCGGATTTGTGTAGGATTAGCCTTTTCTTCTTCCAAAGATAGCTCGCAAGGCACTGGAGGTTTAGGATCAGAGTTTTCTTTCTCCTAGATGGGCTCCCTTCCCAGGTAGATGAGCCCCATCTGCCCCTCTCCAGCACATGCAGAAATGCCTTATTGACCACTGGACACACTACTGGTCTCGTCCACTCCAGCAGCATGCCTGTCTTCACATGCAGGGGAAGTCTCTAATTCATTGACGTTTGAGATGTATCAGCTATCCTCACCTGGTTTAGCCAGCCAGTCAAAGCCGTTTCCCACAGTATGGCCACTGTCACATGCTGTCAGCTTCTAGGAGCCACAGGTGAGAGCTGAGTGCAGGGTGGGGGCCAAAGGTGGACAAACTACCCCTGAAGGAGCACTATGGGTTCCTCATAAGAGGTTCAACGCAACCTCTAACATCCCATGCACCCCAATATACCACACAAAAAAGATGACTGCTGATCTTCTCATCAAACCTCTACCAAGAGACAGTTTCCAGAACCTTCAAATCAAGCTGGGAGGTACTAGCCCTCTCCTAACACCCCAAACACTTCCGTATTGTCTGGATAAAAACTGGGTTGGTTCAGCTCATTTCCTGCTTAGCACTGACCCCCAAACCTACAGAGAGATGGAGCTGGGAATCTTACATTTAAAAGGGATGGCGAATTCACTACACTTGGCAGAAAGAAACTCATGACATTCATTGCAATTGTCATGCTAGGATACCTCAGTGTGGATGGTGCTTTGCAGCTGCTTCCGAGACTTTGTGGCTCGTGGTCCTTCCACTGAAGGAAATAAATATGATGGGGAACACATGTGAAAAAGATATAGGGGTCTTAATAGACCACAAGCTTAGCAGACCACAAACATAACATTTCCTCACAAATGAAATATATTATGGTTACAAATCTATATTATATTTTACCTCAAAAATCCAAGAGGTTGAATTAGATTCTGGATACAGGGGTTGGAAGCGCACCTTAGACTCAAAATACATCTTGCATTCCAGGGGGTTGGAAACTTGGGGTCCCTTCCAACTCTACGATTTTATGGTTTTTTTATTCTACTCTATATGACATATTGAAAACTGAAGGGAATAAATCATGTTAAATAATAAAGCAGCAGCCTAATCTGCATTGTTTTATTCCTGCCACAGAATTATTATTTTTCTTTGCAGAGAGTGGGGGGGGTGGAGAACTCTGACAATACACGGTTCACAGCACTGATTTGGGGTGGCCATATTATTGTAGAGAGAACTCTGGGATTGAGCAACATTCCTCTGGAATGAGGAAAAGAACAATCTATTCCAAATTTGCACTTCTCCAACCCACCAAAAGTGCTTTTTAAAAGGGAAAGGGTGCATTTTAAAAGAAAATGCATATACTGTATTAATCACAAGGGTCGGATCTGATGTTGGGAATCTCATAGAATTGTAGAGTTGGAAGGGGACCCCCAAGGATAATTCAGCCCAAACCCCTACAATGCAGAAATCTCCACTAAAGCATCCATGACAGAGGCCACCCAACTTCTACTTAGACACCTCCAATGAAGGAGAGTCCACCACTTTCTGAGGGAGTCCGTTCCACTATCAAACAGCTCTTACTGCCAGAAAGTTATTCCTGATGTTTAGTCTCCCGGGTACCAAGAAACCCTAACCTTTGGAACTCCCTGTCTATTGATATCAGACAGATGCCTTCATTGAACTCTTTTTGGCACCTGCTAATAACATTTTTGTTTAGGTAAGCCTGCCTAGATATTCAGAATGCTGGTGTGTTTTTCATTTATTTGAATGTTTTTATTGTTTTTATTAATAATCCTATTCTATTCCTTTTGTATGATGCTTTGAGGTTTTCCACAATCCAGAGTTGTGCAATTTTTATTAAATAAGTAGTGAATAAAACCCAGCTCTCTTATTTTTGAGCATCTTTTTCTCCCATTTTTCAGAATGTGCCTGGATTTTGGGGAAACATTAAAATGCCCTACCCTGCTTCCCCATCTCTTTGTGAAAAAGTTAATCCCCAAAAATAGCTCTCAACGTCAGTTTTTCTTTCAAGGCCTTTCTGGCAAATAATACCAGCTGCCGCCCTTTCATAATGGATGAAAGATGCTTGCAGACCAGGTCCCGCTTGCAGGTCTCCTGCCTGCAAGTTGGCCACTATGAAAAGGAGGCTGGACTAGATGGGCTATTCGCCTGATCCAGCAGGACTCTTCAGATGTTTTCTGGAGCTTGGGGAGCAACCCCTGTCAAGCCAAATGGTGAATAATTTAGAATTTGCTCATGAGAAGAAAGAAGAATGAAATTTGTGTGCATGTGAATTTCTGTGTAGAGTAGGATTCTGTCCCCTCCTTCCTATACATGCCTTTGATACAATCTAGTATAAATAATACACACACATCAATGATACACAATGAAACTGGTGGATATGGTTCCTCCCTACCCTGTAAAGTGCGGAAAGGTTTTGGGATGCGGGACAAGCAAAGGCAAAAATCATCTTGGCTCATAACAAGAGGAACTGCAAGCATCTTTCACCCATCATGAGAGGATAGCAGCCCGTGCAGAATTTTGGTTTGGTTCTGTTCTTAATGCAAAGCAAGGGAAACACATGAAAAGACTTTTGTGGCAAAGAAGGTATTATTTGCCAAGAAGTCATTGAAATAAAAACTGATTTTGACAGCTGGGGCTTATTAATTATTTCATAAAATTTGCGTTCCACTTGATTATAGAAAACCTCCAAGCAGTTTACAGAAAGAACAGAGCAATTGGATTGTTAGTAAAAACAACGAAAACATTAAAAAAATTAAAATCAGTAATAAGCTAAAAAATACACCAGCATTTTGAATATCTGGGTAGGCTTGCCTAAACAAAAATGGTTTTTAGCATGCACCAAAAATAGTTCAGTGATTTCAGTAGGCAGGCAGTTCCAAAGGGTTATGGTCAGCAGTTTAGTGTTCCCGCCTGCCGCCTGGTATGTGTGTGCATGCACGCTGGGGGGCAACACACTTACCCACTGGAGGCCACAGCTTCCACGCTGCGGATGGCAGCTCCCTCAAATGCTGGATCCAGCAAGAAACTTTTTTTATCCACCATGCAATTTAAGGAAGCTGAACTGCATGTAGGAAACTATTCCCCGCATACCAAGCCAGCATCTGCATGTCTGGGGCCACTCAGAGTATGTGTGTCCCCTCTCCATCTTAGGACTGAAATGAGGCTTCAGTCCTGAGATAAGCTGGAGGGTGCTTTTAGGCTGTGGCGTGGAAATAAACATCTAGCCCACCCCCGCACATGTGCCGATCCCAACCATCATCACTGTTTATTTGTAAACTATGTTCAAGGCCACTTACAACATGAAAATATTCACCAATTTACTAAAATATAACAAAAGTAGTCATAAGCAATAAATAAAAACATTTCAAAATATATGCCACAAAATTAAACATTTCCCCCAGAGGCCACAATAACGTCTAAGGATATATTTTTTAAAAGCAAAATTAAATACTGATCCCAACAAAACAATACTGCTAAACAATATTCCACCCCAAGAGCCTGTAGGTATCCTCACACATCCTCCTCAGATTCCTAAAAGGAAAGTAAACCTGCATTTCAAAGCTTTTTTCCCCCATTTCTTTTTCGGAATGGTCTTGAGTTATTATGAAACATGGATTTCCCTTATATCATTCATAATTTAAACAACAAGAGGCTGGTTTCCATGGTACCCAAGAGAAGGATGCTATTAAATGTTGACAAAGCATCTTTGATCTCTGCAGAACTGAGAATTCTCTTATTCTCCTTTCTCCTCCTGGCTCATAAAAAGAATCTCTCTTTCTTTAAAGTCTTTTGTCATATGTAATTACTTCGTAGTAGTAGTAGTAGTAGTTGCAATGTTAGAGCTATTCACAGTAGACCTGCTGAACAGCTTTTTCCCTGCTCAAGCCACTGGAATGACTTGACCTATATTAGTCACAACCAGTCAGATTTGCGACCAGGTGGGGGATTTGAACCCTGGTCATAGAGTCATAGAATTATAGGGTTGGGAGGAACTCCAAGGTTCATCTTGTCCAACCCCCTGCTCATCTAAAGCATCCATGACAGATGGCCATCCAACCTCTGGTTAAACACCTGCAACAAAGGGAAGTCCACCACCTTGCCAGGGAGTCTGTTCCACTGTCAAACAGCTCTTACGCTCAGAAAGTTCTTCCTGATATTAAGCCTTTCTTCTAACTTGAATCCATTGGTTTGGGTCCTAACCTTTGGAGCAGGAGAAAACAAGCTTGCTCCATCTTCCATGTGGCAACCCTTTACACAGCCATTGGTACAGGTCCTATCCTCTCTCAGGTCCAAGTTCTCATTGAATACCCACAATAACCCTTTTGAATAGGCTAGGCTGTGAGGCAATGGCTAGCCTTCAATGTCACACCCAGCAAGCTTCATGGCTGAATAGGGATTTGAATCCTGGTCTCCCAGGTCCTAATCCAGCACTGTAACAACTGCACAGCACTGCCTCTCCAAAAGTTACACAGAAGTAAAAGGTGTGTGTATGTGTATGTGTTTAAATGAATGCTCAAAGATGTTGGGGGATTTGCTCTCAGAGCAAACTGCAAGAAACATTCAAGCAGAGGGGGAAAGGCTTTTGCGGAGGAGGGCTGTGTATAATTCATATCCCCCAAAAGCCCCTCTTAGCAGGCAAAACATGGCCCTCATCTTTAATTAATTCCTGGTGAAATATTTACACCTATTAAGCAGAGTAGCTTTTTAGCGCTCCCCCTTCCAGTTTTTTGGGTGGGTTTTTGTTCTGTTTTTTCTCTCTCTCTTCTCAAGTGAGATGAACAAGGAGTGGAAAGGCGCTGGAAGTAGAAATCAGTTAAGAAAGTGTCAAATCTGAGAAAGTCATTTTCCCCCCATAAGATTTACACAGTGCTTGATGGGGTTGTTGTTTTTTTAAACAACAACAACAAACAAACCTCAAAGCAATTTACAAAAAAGATAAAACAATTATCACTAAGAAAATATAGCAATCATGTTAAACTTCTGAAAAGTAAAAATAACAATAGAGTAAAAATAGATCAAAACTCTTATCAACTTTCTAATCATCTGGGTAGCATTGTCTAATATTTTTAGAAGGAAGCAAAAAGAGGCTAGGGAATGTAGGAATTGATTTAAGTACTCGGAGAGGATATATTATTCAGCTACAGTGGTACCTTCGGTTACAGATGCTTCAGGTTACAGGCTCCGCTAACCCAGAAATATTACCTTGGGTTAAGAACTTTGCTTCCGGATGCGAACAGAAATCGTGCTCCAGCGGCGCGGCAGCAGCAGGAGGCCCCATTAGCTAAAGTGGTGCTTCAGATTAAGAACAGTTTCAGGTTAAGAACGGACCTCCAGAACGAATTACCGTAAATTCTTAAATCGAGGTACCACTGTATTATCCTTGCTCATGTGAGTGAGATCAGCAGAGTACCATCGTTTGCAGCTTAAACTTGGAAACTAAGGTTTATTTAACCTAACCTTATAAAAACAAAAATTCAGCTAGCTTTGCTGGATTTTCCTTGGTACTATCCCATTTCTCTCCCTTTAAAAATAACAATCACACACACACATTGTTTTGTGAAGAAATAAAAGTAGCATTTACTTACAAAACCTAGGTATTGAAGCAGCTATTACAGAAGCAAAATGAAGGCAGGTTGATAACTGCAATTTAAGTTACAAAAGTATAAAGCTGAAATTAAAAAATGGTATCTGAGCTGCTTGGTTCAAGCATACAGGTGGGGTCAACTTGGAAACATGATAGGGGGAAAAGAGAAGGCTGCCCAGGCAGGAAGGAAGTATGTAGTATTACAGCTTCCTGCCAAGGCAGACAAAGGAAGTGATCTCACAGAGTTCTCCCTAGCAAATTTTACAGGAAGGCTTTGTGAGCCGCAGCCCCTTCATATCATCATCTGGCAAAGCATGAATTGTTGGTTTGACTGCAATAATGCCCCACAGGGAAGGCGCCTGCCTGCTGTCAATAGGCAGGGAGTTCCAGAGTGTAAGTGAAGCCACACTCAAAGATCAGTTCTCTACAGATGTGGAATAGGAATTATTTGGCACATGTAACAGGGCCAGTTCCACCAATCGAAGTGATCAAGTAGATGTATAGGGGGTAAGGGAATCTTGTAGGTTTGCATTTAAAATCTGGAATGCTCAATAGTTAATAACTTTCTGGGCTCCTGAGTCTCAAGGTTTACTACCCTTAATTGGGCTGGCTTTATTATCAGACAGAGTGGTAGGATCTGTGGACAGGGATGGCTACTAGCCATGGTATCAGCTGCTGGGACTTTTAAGTGGGGAGAGTTGCTGCTGTTGCACTCGGGTCCTGCTTCAGAGCTTCCCATTGGGGCATCTAGTAGGCTATGATGAGGATAGGATGATGGACTAAAGGGCCCCTCTTTAGCCTGATCCATCAGTCTCCTCTTTTCTATGCTAAACAAAGCCAGCTCCTCCTATCGCCTGGTTTCCAGATACTTGATCATCTTGGCCGCCCTCCTCTGCGCATGTTCCAGTATGACAATATCCTTCTTAAATTGTGGTGCCCAGAACTGGATACAGAACTCCAGGTGTGGTCTGACCAAGGAGGAATAGAGTGGGACCATTACTTCCCCTGACCTTGGCACTAGACGTCTGTTGATGCAGCCTAGAATAGCATTAGCTTTTTTGTTGCTGTTGTTGCTGCATCACACTGTTGACTCGTGTGAAGCTTGTGGTCTACCAAGAGGTCCTTTTCATGTGTACTGTTGATTAGGGGTGTAGCCTGATGTGGGTGCTCATGACTTGATGAAGCTGCTCAGCAAAGAAAACCAATCTAGCAGAAGGTCTAGCAGAAAGTGCCTTACTGCACCAAAGCTTGACTTCTTCTCTCTGATGTCTCCTTTTCATCTGCTTTCTCTGCCATTCATTCTCAACAAGTTTTCAAATAATCTGCAATATTAAAGTGGGTTTGAGCGGAGTGGGGGGAAGGAATCAGCAGCATCTCTTGAAATCAATTCTGAACGTCTTTTTTATCACTTGTGTCAAATCTATTTTTAAGAGACTGTCAAGATTGAAATTGTATATTCAAAGCAGGGCGGGGGGTTGGGAACACATTAGCATCCCTGCGCTGTGAGGCATAAATATGTAAGAGTGGAGGAGAGAGGATTTCTTAGGGTGTTGCCGATGACATCCTTCTGCAGATATCAAAGCACATCCTCAACAGGTTTTAATTCTGGAGTGAGATCTGGCCTCCCTGCTTCCAATGCTACAGAATTATCTGCTGGACTGTGCATATTCAGCATCTACCTAAGCCTTTTAGTCTCTGTCCCCTCCAGAAATTCCCCAATCCCCACCGCACCCAATACACTGACTCTTTCTACTATACAGGGATGGAGGAAAAAATAATTTGGTCCGCATTTTAAAACTCAGCTGACCTAAGTCACACCTCCAGGGCAGGTACATTTACAGGGAAAGCTGTTTGACACTTGAGGGGGACTCCCATGGAAAGTGGTAGACTCTTCTGTCTTTGGAGGCTTTAAAGCACAGATTTGATGGCTATGAGTTTGACTAGACCAAGGGTGCCCCAACTTTTTTCAAAGAGGGCCAGATCTGGTGAGGTAAACATGCGTGAGGGCCGACCAAAGTTGTTGAGCTTTTTTTTACAATTTTACCCCAGGACATTTACTGCCACAGGGGCCATATTAAATCGGCCAGCAGGCCGGATTAGGCCCCCAAAACAAATGCCTGGACTAGACGATCCTTGGGGGTACCCAAGGATTTTGTAATTCTGGTTCCATGAAACTTTTGGCATGCCACCCTCCTTCCAGCCTCTTCAACTATCACAATTTGCTCCTCAGCAAGACCTCTCAGGCTTGGAACAGGTTCTACTTCTCCATATAGCAAAATTCAATGGTGGTGTGTCAGAACAAGAAAAGCCCTTGGGAATCAGGAGGAGGTAGTTGGGGCAGAAATTTACCTCCCCCCCCACCCCACCCCACATTTGTGTGTGTGTGGTGCAGAGCCAGGGAGAACTCACACCTGTCAAGGCCAACCACGAAATACCGTATTTTTTGCACCATAACACTCACTTTTTTCCTCCTAAAAAGTAAGGGGAAATGACTGTGCGTGTTATGGAGGGAATGCCTACGGGTGGCATGCCTACCGATTTTCCTCCTCTAAAAACTACGTGTGTGTTATGGTCGGGTGCGTGTTATAGAGCGAAAAATACGGTAGTTGGTGCTGTCTTTAAGCAGGGAGAGATTATCTCAAGCACCAGCCTGTTGTTAAATATTCACTGGTGCAGACTTTTCCTTTTGCCTCAGTAGACCGGTGGAAAGATGGAAAGTTGGGTAATAATTAGATTTGCTGCCTCAGACCCTGCTTAAATCATTTTGGGTGAGGGGGTGCATTGCAGTAACAAGAATTGAGCCCAGCTGCTGTTTCCATCTGCACTAAAAGCCCTTTGAAAGGAAGCAGAAGAGGGGGGAGGGGAGCATTTGTTACATCCTTCATTTGCAGCAAACTGACCCAGTCCAATGCTCTTGAGCCTAGCTGCAGATCCCAGTGAGCTGACACCCCCCCCCCTTTCCACATTTTGCAATTGGGTTTTGCTGCAGTTTCAATTATTTGGGGTTGATTCGTATCATTTATTTGTTATATATAACCTATGCTACAAGGCACTAGTTTGCGCAAAAGATGGCTGCAGCACCTCTGGTTTGCACACTGTCTCAGAGGGATTCTCTCATCTGTGTAGGGGAAAATCTCACCTGACTGCCCCTCTCACGAGGCAGCTTTATTTAGACCCCAGGAATTCCAGCCTTTACACTGGTGTGGTGCCTGCCGTGGATTATGCAATGCAGGTGGCCAGGAGGCATGGATTTACTTTCCTGCCTTCACAAAGGAGGTGATTTAGGGTGAGAGAAGAAGGGGAGGCCTCCCCCAGAAGCTGCTTTTCTCTCCTGGTATGAAAATTACATCAAGCGCCTAATGGGCTGTAGAGTGCTGAAAAGTTCATGAGTCACGTCAGCAAAAAGAGAGAGAGAAAGCTCTTTTGCACATCATAAATATTTCATCTGAAATATCATTATATTTCCATTATCCTTCTGTCTTCACTACAGGCACAACACCGCTGTTTTCAACACAGTTTGGGGCACCTGGCCATTTCTTCTTCTTCACACCGCACCCAAAAGGAGCAGAAATTCATTAGAACATAGACCCATGGGCTCAGGCCACTAGCCCAATTAGTCCAGCATCCTATTGACACAGTGGACAACCAGATGCCCCCCATTGAAAGCCCACAAGCAAGACAGCAACTCTTCAGTTTCTGTTCCCCATCACCTGGTATTCAGAGGTAGACTGCCCTTAGGCCTGGAGGTTCTGCTATCGGAATAGACCTCCATAAGAAATGCCCTGCAGCTGGATCAGGCCAATGGCCCATCTGGTCCAGCTTCTTGTTCTCACAGTGGCCAACCAGGTGCCTCAAAGGGAAACCTCCAAGGAGGACCTGAGCACAAGGGCACCATTCAGGCCAACTCACATTTTCAATGCAAACCTAATTTGCACTTTGCAAAACAATATGCCAAGCAAAACATAGCTATCCTTCAAAATTTGTACTACAGTGGACGCTTGGGTTGCAAACGTGATCCATGCAGGATGCACATTCACAACCCCACAGCGTTCGCAACCTGCGCCTGCGCACGTGCAGGTTGCGATTCAGCACTTCTGCACATGCGCAACCGCCGAAACCTGGAAGTAACCCATTCCGGTACTTACAGGTTTCGGAAGTCCGCGACCCAAAAAGATGCAACCTGAAGCGGCTGTAACCCGCGGTATGACTGTACTCTGAATTTTGCAACACTGTTCTTCAACCAAATAAGATGTACCAAAACAATGCATATATTAGCAGAAATTGATTGCAAAAAATGTGCATATTGTGCACATTCCTCAAACCCTGTTGGAGATTATGAAGAATTTTTAGCCCATTCCATGTGTGAACTGGTTTACCAATGCCAGGAGGCCCATATTTTGTGAATGACTAGTGCTCAGTTCATATCACCCATGACTTCCATCAACCTGCAAAAAAAGCCTTTCAGAGCTGTTGTATATAACGTATTGACAAAGGCATGACTGGCCTGGATTAAGCAGAGGATGTGGGAAGGGAGATAATTAAATAAAGCCAGACGACATGCTTAAATTGAGATATCCATAAAGGGGGCCAAAATTGGCTCATCAGACAGTTTATCTGACTTTCTTTTAAAAACATCACTCATGGCAACAGAGTCAATGTAGAGCCTGGGGCATCGCTACTGGGTCTCCCTTTTTTCCTCCCAGTTGTACATCAGATCTCAAATGATTTTTCTATCTTTTCTCTTTTTTCCATAAAATTTTATTGAAGCTTTTTCATACTACAATAAGATTAAAAAAACAAAGTAATCTAAATAAAAAATAAAAAAAGAAAGTAGGGAAATGCAAAGTCCTCTCTCAAAGGTAAATCTTAACCTTTGTCTCACACTGAAAGGGATGGACCCTCCCAGCTCTCACCTGGGAGCTCCCCTTTCTTCTCCCAGCCTAGGAATTCCTCCATTCTCTGCCTCTCACACAGGGTTCTTCACCGACCAACCATCATCTTCAGTGCTTGAACCCCACTAATGGTTCATGTTACACAAATTTTAAGGTGCACAGAAAACCCATCCTTTGCCCTTCAAAAACTAGGCTTTTTTAAGGGGCACAGAAAACCAATTCTTTGCCCTTCAAAAATTAGGAAATATTCCCTAAAAAAAAAAACACTTTGAGTTCACAGAGCAATCCCGAAGCCTCTTGACTCTCTTAAAGACCCCAGATATTTTCTCTGCCGTAGAAGGAAGTATCTTGGGAAAACCCTTCCCAATGGTTCTTTTCACCAGCAAAATCCTTCAAATCCTGTAAAAAACATAAACACCTTGCATGAATAGGGAAGGTCTGTGACCATGGATCTTAGAATTAAGGTATTTGCCATTTCAGAAGAATGGCCCAGGCTGGCCATTAGACAGTCACACTCCCAAATTTCAGTTATAGATTGCCTCTTTCTGTGACACCTGTCTGATGCTTTTGGGTGGTCTTTGGCTACAGGGTGGGCAATTTCTAAAGTCTTTAAAGGTTGTTACATACATTTGTTCTGGGTCCTCCTCACCTCCTTGCAAGTGGAGGTGTGTGGACTCTGTTGCAACAGAAAATAAAGATCTGCCTTTCTTTCTCTGGTTCCTGCCTCCACTCATTCTTCTCTGACCGATAATAAACTTGTAAAAGCCAACCCCATTTTTTTCTTAAATCACCCAGAGCAAAGGACTCGAAGGGAAACAAAGGAAAAGAAAGAAGAAAAAGAAGGAAATAATACAAAAAGAAAGAAGAAAGATAAAAAGTATTTCCAATTTTCCATCTGTCAGATTTCAGATGATTTTAACCAGAAAGAAGGAACATGTGGATTCAGACCACCCTCCTTCCCTCACCTTCCAACCCCCAGTTCTGCCCCATCTATGCTGCTTTTTGGAAGTCTCCCTTTTTAATTTTTTTGGAAAGATTTGATAGGAGTTCCCTCCTGCAGGCTTTGTCTGCCTTCTGCAGGAAAACTCAGGCACAGACATGAAAGGAGTTTCAGTTGAAACAGAAAATAACAAGAGGAAGGAGAGTAAAAAGAAATTCCCTGCGGCATCAGAAATCCAGGAACAGGGATAGGGTGGCAAATCCTTTCCCTGCCCAAATATGAAAGTGTCATATCTTAGCTGTGATTTCTGCATTGCAAGGAGTTAAACCAGGTGACCCTTGGTTTCCATTCAAACGCTACAGGTTTTTTTTATTCTATTATTCTATGACCTCAAGAAGCATGGATAGTGAACAGGAGAGGGAACCTGGGAGAGAGATGGTGGATGGATTTTTCTGTAATTATTTATTAATGCCTGGCTTTCAATTTATTATTTATTTCATTAAATTTATACACTGCTTCACTGTAAAAAAAACCAACTATACCCTACATGTGATTTACAAAAAAGCTAAAACAATAAAATAATCATTAAGAAAAATTAACAACAATAATTAAAAAACTTTCAAAAAGTTAACAACAGACTAAAAACAGATCAAAAACTGCATCAATTTTCTAAACATCTGACAGGCTTCTCTAATGTTTTAAGCAAGTATCAAAAAGAGTGCAGCAAAGGTGTGTGCCTGGTGTCAATAGGCAGGGAGTTCCAAAGTGCAGCTGCTGCCGTACTACAAGACGGAGTTCTTACAATTGCAGAAGGGGTGTTACGTGGCAGCTGTAACAGTGCCAGTTCCTCCAATTGAAGTGGTCACGTGGGCATATATGGGGGAAGACGATCTCACAGGTAAACTGGCCCCAAGAGAACTAAAGCTGAAAGATCCTTCCATCCTAGAGAAGCAAAACTGGCAGATCCTTCCATCCCTAGTAATCAGGCAGCAACTCATAACAACAGCAATTACCAGATTTAGCAAAGGTTTTTCTTTGAATGCTCAAACCCTCCTGGTCAAAGAGCCCTACATTTGTCTTTCAAAAGACAGGTGTTATTTATCGCTGCAGCTAATTGCAATCCCTGCTTAAAAGTGGAGGTCATATATGCAACGGTTGATTCATAACTGACAAACGGAAGTCAATAAGGCAGCAAACAGTTTGCAGCCGTTGGTCTGATTAATGGGCTCTTTCCTCAGTGCCAGCTGCCATCGACAGGCATCTTTTTCTCCTACATGGATAGTGCTTCAATGGTCCCAAAATCCAGCTGATAGGATAGATTTGCTTCTGCCTTCATACAAGGCAATCTATCAAGATTCCCTTCAGGGATTGGAATTAGTGGGTATTTTAATGTTCGGGATGGGGAAGTGTGACCTTTCAAAAATAGTGATATAATACTAGTGATATAATACTAGAACTCAATGGGTTATTCAGTGTTAGAAGATTCAGGACCCATTCAACACCCATTCAGTGCTGAAAAATTCAGGGCAGTCAAAAGGAAAGACATCCGTCTTCACACAGGGCAGAGTTAAACTATGGAATTCACTCCCACAAGAAAAACTGATGGCCACCAACTTGGATGGCTAAGTTCTACCACGACTGTCAGAGGCAGGTAGGAAGAAAGCTGTTGTGCTCAGGTTCTGAGAAAGCTGTTGCGCTCAGGCACCATCAGCGCATGGACTGATAGTGATTGCTAGCCACAGTGGCTGTGCTCTGCCTCTGCAGTTGGAGGCAGTATGCCTCTGAATGACAGTTGCTGGGAATTCTGTGGCGAAAGTGGACAAGAGAGTTTGTCAACCTCTCTCATAATGCTAGAACCCAGTGGGGGCATCCAGCGAAGCTGAATGTTTGAAAATTCAGGACAGTCGAAAGGAAGGACTTTCTGCACACACAGTGCACAGTTAACCTACGAAATTTGCTTCCACAAGGCATAGTGATGGTCAACAACTTGAGTGCCTTTAAAAGAGGATTGGACAAACTGATGGAGGAGAGAGCCACCAACGGCTACTGGCCATGACGGCTGTACTCCAAATTCAGAGGCAGTATGCCCCTGAATGCCAGCTGCTGGGAGGCACAAGATGGGGGAGTTGCTGTTGCACTCAGGTCCAGGAGATCCTGGCCTTTGGTTCAAATAGTGCAATGACTTTTCTATCCACTTTCTCCACGCCAGGCACCATTTTATGGTAAAGCAGTGTTCATGCAAAGAGACCACCCTGTTGCACTTCCGACAGCTCAGGGAAGCAAGCTGATATTTCTCTCCTGCCCCTCTTTATTTCTCTCCGTCATCCTTCAATTAATGCATTTGCCTCGCCTGTCTGGCCTGACAAGAGGGCCAAAGAAATGCAAGCCCCCAAAGGCCGCTCCCCATCTGAGATGTTTTGATAGGCTGTGACATTTTCAAAACAGGCTGTCTGCTGCACAAGGGCCCTTGACAATATCCGGAAAGAGAAAGCAATTCAGAGTACAAAGACGGGTATCGATTCAGGCCGGGAAGTAAACTGGATCTTTCCAAAATAGCTTGGCAGGGCCTCTTGCCTGCCCTCTGCCCTCAACACAAAGGGTTTTTTGGGTGAGCAGAGTCAAGGTTGGGAAATGAAAGACAGGCCTTCGCTTTTGAGGTCTCCCCTCAGGTCGGGGTCCCTTGCCAATCCGGTGCCCCAGCCCACTCTAGCACACACACAAACACACAGGTCACAGCTTACCAAACCCCTGCATAGATTCATCCAAAATCATCCTCATCCAAATCCATCTGAGACAGCTTTAATGAGGGTCAAAATTGCAGGGAGCATTTGCTACAGTAGAAAAGGGCAAATGTCATCCTAAGAAAGGCATTGAGAAATAAACCAGCACACATAATAAAGCCTTTGTCTTTAATCTGTGGTATGGTTGTGCTTCAGACACTAAATAAAGCTCTCCTTGCTCCACTGAAAGAACAGAATTCTTACAGAGCTGGAAAAGGCTTTATTAGCCATCAATCAGCAAAGCGAGAACATAAGACCAGTGGTCCATCTACTCCAGCAGCCTTGTCTTCACGGTGGTCAACCACATGCCTATCATGGGAAACCTGCAAGCAGGACCCAAGGGCAAGAACACTCTCCCCTCCTGTGGCTTCCAGCAATTTTGCTGCCTCTGACAATGAGGTAGAGCATAGCCATTGTGGCTAACAACCATTGGTAACCTTCTCTGACTCCATGAATTTAATTGTCTTTTAAAACCATCCACGTTGGTGGCTGTTACTGCCTCCTGTAGGAGAGAGCTCCACAGTTTAACCATGTGCTGAGTGAAGAAGCACTTTCTTTTATCTGTGGTTTAAAACTTCAAAATAAACATTGTGGGGTTGGGAAAGGGCTGTAGCTCAGTAGATCCTCTGGTTTGCATGCAGAAGGGTCCCAGGTTAAATCCCCAATGGGATCTCCAGGTAGGTCAGGAAACATCCCTTATCTAAAACCCCACAAAGCCAATTACTGTAGACAGTACTGACCTAAACTGACCAGTAATTATTGTATTGCCAACAGGGCTGACATTGCTATTTTATTCTTTCTGCTTCTTGCGCCTGGAAAGATTCTTTGGTCTGACAAGCACTAATAAAAAATGAAACAGGGGAATCCCCACTTGCATGCTCCCATTTACACTTACACTTACATTTACACTTACATTTACACTTGCGTAGGAAGCATCGCGGGTGGCACTGTGGGTTAAACCACAGAGTCTAGGGCTTGCTGATCAGAAGGTTGGCGATTCGAATCCCTGCAATGGAGTGAGCCCCCGTTGCTCGGTCCCAACTCCTGCCAACCTAGCAGTTCGAAAGCACACCAAAAAGTGAAAGTAGATAAATGGGTACCACTCCAGCGGAAAGGTAAACGGCGTTTCCATGTGCTGCACTGGTTCGCCAGAAGCGGCTTAGTCATGCTGGCCACATGACCCGGAAGCTGTATGCCGGCTCCCTCGGCCAGTAAAGCAAGATGAGCACCGCAGCCCTAGAGTCGGCCACGACTGGACCTTTACCTTGACCTTTAGGAAGCATTGCCAAAAACGGACAGGGGTGGAATGGGATGGGGCAGGGGCAGACCAGGGGAATCCCCACTTATGTACATTGTGATGATATGTGCAGTGGTCTGGAATGGATCCCTCATGTAAGTGGGGATTCTGCTGTATCTCACAAGGGAGCGGCTGAAAGAATGTGGTTGGCCAAGGGAGCCGTGGACTCAAAAAGGATGAAAACCACTATGTTAAAGGGATCCTGGAGGTGGTGCTCCTGTCTGGAGTACCTAGTTGATGTCTATTATAGGACTCCCTCACCACTGGTTCGACTCATTGGAGAATCAAAGAGTAGGTGGGCTTGTTGAAACAGGTTATATGCCTAAGCCAAAACCACTTCCTTCTATAATCAATAAAGTTGTGGCCTAATTTGAACCGAAGAACATTGTAGTAAGTGGTATTTTCAATACATGTTGCAGTGTCTGGGCACACACAGCGCAGCTCTTTTGCACTCTCAGGCCCTTTGCTAGGAAAGACCGGGTAGCCCAACCCCTCCCACCCCCAAACCCAAGATAATTTCCAGACACGTATTTCCACAATGAAGACAAATGAAGGTGTTTTCGTCTGCTGGCGCACCAGTATTGTTCAGCTCTGCCAGTAACGGGGTGAAAATGAGATGCTGCAGCAGCAGACACCTGCTGATTTACAGGCCAAATGCTGCATTTTGCAAACAGATGGGCACTGGGTGGGTGGGGGAAGGAAAAAAAAACACCTTGCATGTTGAACTTTAGCGTAGGCAGAGAAGGAATGTAAAGAAACAGATCTATTTAGGAGCAGGAATCTCTGATTATGCAGTTATTTATCAGTATTCAAAGCAATAATAATAATAATATTCCCACATGTGCCTAAAGTGATCCAGATATTATTTTCAGAAAGGGCATTCACTGCTACAGCTGTATGAACAATTTGAATTAAGGCTTAATTATTCTAATTACTTAAACCAATCTCAGTGCATTATTTATCTTCAGATTTTGCAGTATATTTTTTGTTTGTTTTCATGTGCATCGTGATCTAGTGCATATTGTTTGCAGTTTGTTTCGTCTGTTGTATTCTTTTATGATTTTGTATGTTACTTTATTATGAACGTTCCAGTTTTGGCATTTTATACCTCCTGCTTTGGAAATGTGATTTCATTGCACTTGTTGTTGAGATTTAATTAAAAATATTTTTAAAAGAAAGGCCCTTCACTACATGTCTGATTTGGTAATTGCCCTTGGAACCTAAAGTAAAATGTACACAAGCTCATAAGCATTGCTATTAAACAATGAGAGAAATCAATACTTTAGAAGCTGGGGGTGGGGGAGCTGGGAGGGAGTGCTTGGTTCTTTGTCCTATTGCAATGTATCAACCAGTTTGCAAAACCAAGCTCCCTGGAGGCCTCACTCTTAGCTCTTAACACCCACCACCACTGCTGCAGAAGAAGGAAAAGCTGTGGATCAGACCAACTCCATGCAAGGAGGCAGGGGGTGAGAGGTAGAGTTTAAATTCCCTTTAATAAATAAATCAATAAAATAAAAATTATTACCCAATATTATAAAATAGGGTGTGCTTCACTTATTCATACATTTTCCTCTACTGAAGTTTCAAGTAAATCTTCAGGCACACCCTCACCACAGCAAAGGAGGTTTAATGCCACCATTATGAAGGGGACAATTATATGGGGCTTAGGAAGGAGCCTAGCAGGGCTTAAATATTGCATTTAAGTAGGGTTGCCATATTTCAAAAAGTGAAAATCCGGACACAAATGTTGTTGAGCTTTTTGGGGCAAAGTTGTTGAGCTTTTTTTGCAAAATCTTGGGGGGAAATTGCAGCTTTTAAGCTATTTTATAAGATTTGCAAAAAAATAATAATGAACTCTTCTGATATGAGCTGCCATACGCCTGGGTTTCCCCAGACATTTTGACCAATTTTTGAAAATTCTGCTATGTCCAGGAAATTCCAGACACATGGCAGCCCTGATTTAAGTTAATTAACTTCCCAGGAACCGTGTTTTATTATATATTTCCATGGAAGGGGCAATCTCTATCCTATGTACACTTAAAACATGTGAAAGATTTTGGATTCAAACCTAACAATGCATCTCTATGCTACTTAGTGAATGAAGGTGTTAAGGACCACTGAGTTCTAAATTACTAGAGTAGAATCTGTGGTGTCATGTCCCCTCATATCCAAGGTGGGAGGCCTGCTCATTTCTTTCTCTTTCTTCCCCTCTTCCCATTGAAGTATATAATCAGGGCTCCAGACTCAGACTGCATGTTTGAAAACAACTTCTCTATTTTATAACCAATAATACCTTACCTATATTGTTTCTGTTGTAGTATTGAACAATGCATGAGACCTCTGATTACTGTAAGTAAAGCATTTAAACTTACTTAAGGTTGTAGTCTATTCACTCCGAGATGGGTAGAGGTTGGGGAGCACATGTCCGAACTTAATACTGGATATTTAAGGGTCTAACAAACACTGTTTTAAATGCAGCTAGGGGTTCTTTTTGGCCAGAGATTGAGTCAAGTGCCACATTTTTTTAATTCAGGCAGTCTGCTGTTTTTCTTTGTAGCTTCCCACACACATGGGACTTTGGGATCAACTGGTATTCCCCAGTTATTTCACAACAAAACAGAGAGTTACCTCTGTTGAGCACATTGGATTTACTTATGTGTAAACAAGTCTGAGTTTTCACAGGAAGCAATTAAATCTTCAATCCTGGATCATGGTTGCTTGAGATTAGGCAGCCCTGTTAAATTAGCAATGCTGATGTTCCCAGTTCTGTATTTGCATGGCTGGTCAAAACCCATCTCAGTCAGCAAACTTTCTCTTTTAAAGAACTAAAGTTTATATGTCCCTGAAATAAGCTTTAATTTCTCCCCTAATAAACCTTGTCTTGTTAATGCTTTTGACAACGATAACCTTTTCTGACTAGAAAACATTTCACCAGAAATTTCCTGATTAGCCTTAGTAGGTATATATTCAAGTTAGGTCTTGGCATGTTTAAAGCACTACTATTATATCTTATATTTTGTAATGGTTTCAGCTAGACAACATAAATAAGCAATAACTATTGCATCACTTTGAACCATCAATACTTCCCCCAACGCATCCTGGAAGCTGTAGTTTGTTAAGGGTGCTGAGAACTGGAGGGAGGCCCCTATTCCCATCCCAGAGCTACATTTCCCAGAGTGGTTTTAAGAACCAACCCCTCTTCACAGGGAAGCCTGGGAATTGTACTTCTGGAAGGAGAATGGGGTATCGTAACAACCTTTAGCATCCTTTGCAAACTACAATTCTCGGGGTTCTTTGGAGGGAAGCCATGTCTGTTTAAGAGTGGTCTAAGAGTGCTTTCAGTGGTGCAGATGGGGTCCAGATGAACAGGCAAATAAATCCAAGCACGCTGGCACAGCAACCCTCAAGCAGATCATGCTTTCCAGCCAATGCTGAACTGCTTACCCTGGCTGTGTGCCGAAAACGGCAAAGTGTGCCACTACTGGGTTTTATACTCCTGGCTCCGAGGCTTATAGCAGCAACTCCGCTACTCATCCTTCCTCCCTGCTGCCTGACCACCATGACCATTTTCCTGTGTCCAAAGAGTCTTCTAACAAGAGCAGCTGTGCCAGTCAACTGTGCCCACCCATCACCATCCCAAACAAGGGCAGGAAGAATTGTGCAATCCCACTGACCCTCCAGCGGGCAGACTCCAAAGGAAGGTGGTGCTTAGGGAGCTGTACTCCTAAGCACTAATCAATGCATATTTTAAAAAAGAAAAAGAAACATGGTTGGGGCGATGGGAAGCCCCAACAATATATCAAGTGACTGCAACTTCAGGGAGTGGAGATGTTTTTGTGTGCCTTTAACTAGAAATAGAAGAGGGATCCATTCGTCTATGTACATAAGAGGTTCCTGCTGGATCAGGCCAATGGCCAGTCAAGTCCACCATCCTCTTCTCACAGTGGCCCACCAGATGCCTATGGGAAATCCGCAAGCAGGATTGGGCACAAGAGCCCTCTCCAATCCTCCAATCCAGAAAGTGGTACTCAGAAGCATTGCTGCCTCTGACCACAGAGGCAGAGCATAGCCATTTGGGCTAGTAGCCATTGGGAGTCTCCTCCTCCATGAATCTATCTAATCCCCCTTTTAAAGCCATCAAAGTTGGCAGCCATCACTGTCTCCTGTGGGAGGGAGTTCCACAGTTTAACTATGTGTTATGTGAGGAAGGGCTTTAGCTGTCTGGAATTTTCTAACATTCAGCTTCATTGAAAGTCCACAAGTTCACAAGTTCCAGGTTATGCCGTGCATGATTTTATAAGCTTGTTAATCATCATCATCAAGTTGGATGGTTTTGAAGGGAGTTTAGACAAATTCATGATGGGGAATAAGGCTATCAGTGGTCACTAGCCATGACAGTTATGTTCTTCCTCCACTATCAGAGGCAGTATGCATCTGAATACCACTTGCTGGGAATAACAAATGGGGAGAGTTCCTGTTGCGCTCAGGTCTTGATTGTAGGTTCCCCATTTGTAGGTTTGGCCACTGTGAGAACAGGATGCTGGACTAGATGGGCCCCTTTTGGCCTCATCCAAGAGGACTCTCCTTATGCTCTTAATGCCTGGAAGGCGCAATGTTGGTTAACTCTTTCCTAGGGAATTAGAAGCACCTCTGACATTAAGAGACCTTAAAGGCTGTCTTAACTGCCTAGACACCCACCCCATACTGGCCTGCCTTCTGGCGGAGTTTGGTACAAAAGAGCCTGGTTTCAAATCACCACTCACTGAGAGGCCTCCAGGAGTCAGGAATGCCATACTCTCCATTTATTGTTGAGCTCAAAGACCGGGAGACACAGTCTGCAGCCCAAGCTGAGATCTCCCCTGTTTTTCTCCCATTTCTGTTGTGAGAGCTGGAAAAGATTCTAGCCTCCCAACACTCATAGATTTTGGATCAGAGCCAGTGAGATATTCCCCCACCCGTCGCCCGCCTCCTTGAGTGTCTAGTGTTGGTTATTCTGTCTCAGATTCAGATCACTGTATTCTCTCTCTCTCTCTCTCTCTCTCTCTCTCTCTCTCTATAGCTTCTTCTTGTTAATATCACCACAAATCAATTTGAAATCACGGCCTGCTGTCTGCCTAATATTTCTAAATAATTTATGATCAAGGACCTAATTCTCTTGAGATGCCACCAGCGTTAAAGGCAATTCTGCATTCAGATCATGTTCCTAGTTGGAAGGAGTCAACTCCACGCAAGCTCTTTTGATTTGTTCTTGCCGGTATGGGATTTGTGAATTTTTTTTAGAGTGGAGCATTCTCCCTCCTTTAAAAAATTGAGTTATTTCCCTCTCTCCCTCCAACTGAAGAATAAGTTGTTATCACTGCAGCTCCTGCTGTAGACAGCCTGTTCCATATTGATGCTTTGGGATGTAGCAATACGCTAATGTCGTACAGAAATTAAAGTGTTTACTGTGCATTTTTTGTTCAAGCTCCATTCATCACCAGCTTTAAATTTCCATCTCATGCCAGTTACTCTGGTGGAACAGCATTGGCATAAACTGTGAAAACAATGCTGAGAGAGAGAGAGAGAGAGAGAGAGAGAGAGCAGACATTGTGCAGTGCTATAAATAGTGCTTACCACTAGGTTATAATATTACAATGATGGGAAATTTTTAGGCTTGTCCAACACTGCAATAATCTTCATGCTGACTTTTCCCCTAAACCCCTCAGCTGAAGGAGCTTATCTTGGGCACTGCAAATTGTACCTGATTCTAACTGGAAGGGGCGCAGGGTTGTTGTTGCCATCTATCTGTCTCAGAAGACCATGAAGGAGTGTGCTTTTGGGGGTGAGGTCAAACTGCTGGAAGGTTGCCGCACCTGCTGTGGCTGCAGAGACTGAAATGGGAGAGACATGTTTTGTTGCCGCTGGGGCAGTTGAAGGCATCCAGTTGTGCTGCTGTAGATGCACCGTGGCGTTTCTTCTCTCTGCACTCTTCCCAACGGTCATTCCTCCTCTTGTCACTGCTACTGATGCATGATCTGATGGACTGCCTCCAGCATTCCCACATGGCAGCGTTGATGTTGCCAGCCCTCATGTCACGTTTGCAGACATCTTTGTAACACAGAGTTGAATTTGTCCAATCTGCTTTTAAATTCGGTAGAAGGCTATTGACAGCTATTAGCCATGATGGCTAT